AGCAGAACTGAGCTCCACAACCCAAGGCATGGCCCAACACCAGAGAATACTAAATCGCAAAATTGACGTTTTTATAAAATAATTCTTCAAAAAAGCACAAACTTCAATGACGAATATCTTTATGAAGGAGCAAGCTAGAAAAACTTTCCGGTAGATTTTCAGAATGCTTGAACAATTATCTAAGATGAAAATTTCCTCAGATTTTGAATAAAATTACTCCTAAATGGTTTAAAATTAATTTTAAAAGTTATTACTTTGTCAAAAATCAAGTTTTAAAAACGGTTAACTTGATGACGTCATCAAGGGGTGTTTATGACGTCATATAATTTTTGTATACAATGTAAACTAAAGTATAAACAATTATTTGCAAGACCTGTGGTCGGAAATGGCTGTATCTTTTATACTTTTAAATCTATGGACAATTAAATACAGGCTACAATTGACTGGCAAAGCGTCTATCCCTGAATATATATATATATGTATATATGTATCACGACAATCTATCGTAAAACAGGGGTTCTAGAAAACCCACTTCCCGATGCTCCTGAAACCTGAAACTTTTTTTGCAGTCGATTTGGTCAACGTCTAGACGCCCTGAAAAATTTCAGATCTCTAACTCAATTTTAACATGGTTTTTAAGGCACCTGAATATGGCGATTTTGGGTTTTTTACCGAATTTCGTATAACAGTGCTGGCGAGTATTTTATGCAAATTTCTTAAAAATCTCAACATAACTATTTTTTATTCCTGTCATCTTTGACATCAAATTAGAATGTTTTGAACTAAAAATAAATCTGCTGAACGACTTCCGATGAGTCTTAATGCCTGAAAAACGCCTCCGGCCGGAGTGCACGCTTCGCGTGCACGAAAGAGGCTTGTAACGTGTACCAAAGGGGGTATAATAGTAAAGGGGGTATAATAGTAAAGGGGGTACATAGTATACCCACAATAAATGTACCGGTCGTGCTTGCCAGCACTGTGATATGCTATTTAGATATTGACTACATTTGATATAATCGCAAACGGTCGGATATCGATCTTAAACCGAATGGCAAATAGGATAATTCAAATTTTCGAAATTTTCGACCGCCAGTTGCTAGAAATTTTCAAAAAATTATTCAGTATCCAGGAGAAACCCGACCAGTCCGTGGACTATTTATGACATGATGGTAAGGTCCGAGGGCGAACTCCCAAATGTACTGAACCACACAGAAGGGGATGTTAAACAGGTGCAGAAGATCATGGCAAGGATTAGGGCTGTTGTAGAAGCGTGCACATTCCTTCTCCTCTTACCGTTGGCGTTCAAATCCGCCCTTCCAGAAACCAATAAACGGCAGATAGATATCACACAGGACATGATGATGAGGGTGGTAAGGGTTGTGGGTAGTACATATGAACCATAATTTGTTAGATATGGTCCATTCAGAGTCCTCCTAGAATAGGAAAGGTTTCTTGAAAAATGCTGATCTCAGTCTACAAGAGTACAAGTGGTTATCAAAGTCCAAATAGACACGACGCAATTTGATGTTGTAACACGAGGAAATATGGACAGAACTGAACAAGAACAAAAACCACACTCAGAGACTGAGGATTCAGGAGGACTCTGCAACCCAGGAATCAACTACTTAGCTATGATCGCTCAATAATCGGTTTGGTATCGACGCTATATACTTTGATTTTCCGACTTTAAAGCTGACTTAAGAAACCAGGGAATTAGTTTTACCTTCCTAAAATTAAATCGTCGATTTTATTTTTATATCACTTTCTTTTTTTTCTTTAATCAAAACATTCCAATACTTTGTGCAGAAAGTTGGAGATAAAAAATTTTGGAAGCATATAAGGTTATTATAGACCTGATATCGATCGTAAATACTAAATACTAAAAATACTCTAGTACAATTGTAATATAACTGCAGTTTTACAGAACTCTAAATGCTTAATGAACACACTTGCAGGTACCACCCGTATTCACACTCAAAACTGAGTTTAGTCATTTTAATTCCGATACGAGACGGGTTCTATAAACAAACAAACAAACAAGTAACATGTACCTAGTCGTCCAGCTGGACGGTTCTCCGCTAGACATATTTAATGCAATTTTTGGCCTTTTTTAAACTAATAATGAACCATAATTACTATGTTCAATGTTTAATAGTAATTTTTGGAAAAAACAGATCGTTCAGACGATAGGTAGTGTTCTTGCCGATAGATAGCTGGCGTATAACCGGTATTGCTACTACATGTGGAACACAAATGGCAAAACATTGGATGGGCAGTCCACATGGAGTGCTCTTCGCTGTTTAAGGGTTAAGACTACTATTGCACAAACAATTTGGGCTCATTCTAATACGGAATTTTGTCTGCGTCCTGCCAGCTGTTGAAATGGTCAGTCGAGGCTCAATCGATCAGGACGGCCTGATCGTTTTTATAGCAGCGTTCATAAATACCAGGATCTGGCTTCAGCATTCAGGACTGCTGGATGAATCTTTTGTTTCGTCTAGAAACTCATATAGCGTTTTATTTTTGTTTTTTAAAACCTTGACGATACAGGCTAACAGTCTCCACGACGTTCAAAAACCTGATTAACGCTACCGTGTAACTATATTGCAGTAAATTCATTCGAATATTCGAAGATTTGCAACTTTAATACAAATATTGAAAATTCCCGAAAGTCGGGAATTGAGAAAATTTCCCGGTCGGGAATTCCTGACCGAAAATCGTCGGGAAATCCCGGGATTCGGGAATCCCGATGTCGAGATTGGTTTCACTACATAAAACCTCAAACAACGTAACTTTTAAACTTTGCAAGTTTAAAAGTTACTCTTTGCAAGGAAAAGTGAGAGATGAGACAACTAGCTTAACAGTCGAGCAATTTAATAAGTAAGAGATCATGTGTACGTGTATAAACCATAGTTATATTTTAATAATTTCAAATTAATACCTGATACCAATGCTAAAGTTTTAAAACTTGTAAAGCAATAAAGGAAAATTGAGGTGCCCTGGGCATAATGTAAGTGTAACGCTGTTATATTAAGTTAAGCAGTTATGCCGTACAAGTTATTCATGTCCTATGGCAATGTCCCAGCTTTGATTAATTCCAAATTATAAAGCGGGAAATCAACAAGTTTTTGGAGGGTATAGTTTGATTTAATCGATTGCACCCTAAAAATATCATCCCGATATTGAACCTACAAGTCCTAAATGTTGATGCAAATAATGTTGGGATTTTATATGGAAAACAATGCAATATGTGTTCAGTTTGATAGTATTAGCCCGTTGAATTATAATTGACTGTTAGAGGGCTGTTACCTTACAGCTGGCTATATTTGCTGTGCATGTGTTAATTTGCAATACGGATGCCGAGTTATCTAGTTATAATAGTGATTTTCATTTACTCGTATTACCAACTAATGTCAATGTGTCCTAATCCTATCAAAGTAAAAGAAATCCCGGGATTCGGGAATCCCTATGTCGGGATCGACATCGCTACATTGTACATAAAACCTCAAACAACGTAGATCACGTGACCACAAAACTATTGAAAGAGTTTAAAAGTTTCTCTTTGCAAGGAAAAGTGAGAGATGAGACAACTAGCTTAACAGTCGAGCATTTTAATAAGTAAGAGATCATGTGTACGTGTATAAACCATAGTTATATTTTAATAATTTCAAATTAATACCGATGCTAAAGTTTTAAAACTTGTAAAACAATAAAGGAAAATTGAGGTGCCCTGGGCATAATGTAACGCTGTTATATTAAATTAAGCAGTTATGTCGTACAAGTTATTCATGTCCTATGGCAATGTCCCAGCTTTGATTAATTCCAAATTATAAAGCGGGAAATCAACAAGTTTTTGGAGGGTAGTTTGATTTATTCGAGTTCACCCTAAAAATATCATCCCGATTCCCGATATTGAACATACAAGTCCTAAATGTTGATGCAAATAATGTTGGGATTTTATATGGCCATAATTTCTGAGACAAATTAAAAAACACTCCATTTTTGCATATTTAGCTTTTTTTATGTAATTGTATACAAATTGTAGATCAATAATTGAGTTGATAGGTACTACAACTAGAGAAAATATAGGATATTTTTGATGTTGAACTGATAATTTCCACGGAATTCAGTCCACAAACCATAATGAAGGGAATCCAGCACAAAAATCTGTCAATTATGTGAATGTGAATGTGATCAATGCTATTTTTATTGTCACACCCATTGTTTCCGTAAAAGTGAATTTTTCGTCTATAGAGTGTCCCATTGTGGCCTGGTCTCATAACATGGTCTTTACTTTTTAGTCAACATTTCATCATCAACTATAAGAGAATTTGTACTTTTACGCGTGAAAATTTATTTTTCCATTTCCGTAGGAACATTTAATTACATCGTGAGGAGTCTTTTTATTTACACATATTATAATGGTAGAAATTATTTGATTTTAGGAATGTATGTCATTCCATTAACGAACAAATCCTCAATAAGGTCAATAAAGTCACGGAAAACAATGCAATATGTGTTCAGTTTGATAGTATTAGGACACATTGACAATAGTTGATAAGACGAGTAAATGACAATCACTATTATAACTAGATAACTCGGCATCCGTATTGCAAATTAACACAGCGAATAGTCAGTTGTTTAATGTTTATAGGTAACAGCCCTCTAACAGTCAATTATAATTCAACGGTGAATTATAGCCGGCTAATAGCCATGAAATACAAGAAACTGTTGGCTGTTAGAGGGCTGTTACCTAACAGCTGGCTATAATCGGATTATCGGATTTTCGGGATAATATTTACTATTATTATAGCCGGATATTCGATAAATTTCTAAATTTTATCACTATCAGAGTGGAATTGACTGGAATTTGAATTAAAATATTGTCAAATTGTTATTATTTTAGAGGGTAAAAAAGAAAATTTTGATTACGTTATCAACGACCAAACCCCCCCCCCCCCCCCCCCCGTAATCAACCGTAAGCATTTGGAAACCCCCTCCCTCGGCTGATTACGTAATATGTGAACGACCCCTTAATAGCGCTTAAAACAGCTCCATACAGCCTACAATATTCCCAAATCTCTGAACTGATCGTAGAGAAAATATCTATTCTCCCTCACTACAGGTCCCGCAAACTTCTCCAGATACGGTGGATCCACCACAACATTAACACCCGGCCGAGGGAGCACGTTCTTTAGTTCTGCAGGGGGTGGTTGTCGGGGTGGTAAATCTGGGAGTTTCTTGGTAGGGAGGATGGGTGTTGGGGCGGGAAGGGTGGTGAATATGGTCTCTGTTGCGCTGATTGTTGCTTTCTTTTGTACCTGTTAGAGGAGAGTAAGCTTGATTAAGAATGAAAATAAATAAAAATTGTTATTATCATTAATGCGAAGACCTAATTATTTTCCGAAAAAGAGGGTAGCAGAAAAGTAGGTACCTGCTGCTGTAGTTTACTCTCAAGAAAGCCAAGTTTCTGTTCCAAATTATGTCGTTCTAACTTATTCTCTGCCAGTGAAGCTGCCAATGCCTTTGTGCTGTTCAACGCAACTTCTGAGAAAATATCTGTGAACTATAATAGTGATAACACTAACGACATAGTAGTAAAACTTAAAACATAGTAGATCAGATACTTTTTAAATCGCAGAAGAGCGGGACATTTAATTGCAGCAACGATTTGTTTTCAAGCGTGTACAATATGACGCGCGCACGTCATAATATCACCAAAATATCGTTTTGCGCGCGGTTATTATTATAAAAGAGACATTTGTCGGTCGCGCTCAAATCTGCCAATAGACAAGCGTAAAATTGCCAAATTAACAGAGGGTGTTTGGAAACCAGCTTTGTTTACTGGTAAATGTTTACTCAAGAATTTATATATACAATAATATACAATAATTATGTACCTAAATCTGCTAATATAAAACCTAAATAACTCTTAAAATATACTCCACACGAAATTATGGACCTGGAAGTAAGATTAAATACTTCAGCTTAATACACAAATCAAAACAAAATTCTTGAAGACTGACAGTCTTGTGTTGAAAGACGAATATGATTTAGAAGCTTATCAAAAAATTAAAATCTTAGCGAACCAGGAATCCATAAATCCAAGCAAAACTCTGTCTTAACACATTTCAAACAACAATTTTGTCCACACTACACACTTTGCCTCCTTTTATGAAGTGTCTCTTATCTGGCTCGTCGTTCGATCTCTTCTTGAGTTCTAAAACAAGCTTTTGCTGTTCGGCACGTTCCTCTGGAGACCTATCTGGACTGATAAAGACTTTACTGAAAAGTTCTGAGCTACGGAGATGCCTTGCTCTAGTCAAAATCTGCTGCGCGATTGTGGAGCTCGTCAAAGTCACCTTAACAGGTCTGGCAGCCACTTGTTTCTTATCCTTGGGTTTATTCAAACCAATTCTGCTAGCTTCTATTTTTGGCTTTTCACCAAGTTCCAACAACACTTGACCGATCTTGTCGCATAACAGCTCACCTTTCTCTTCTTTAATACCAAATAACATCAGATTCCGACTTCGGTCTCCTTCTGCCACAACATCCTTGATGACATTCTTCAAAATGTTTCTATCCGAATCCAACAAAGGACCTGCTGCTGAGGTTTTTGATGCCTGTACTGCGGCGCTGTATGTCTTCAACTCTGATTTCACAGTATCCTCAACTGATGCTACAACCACAGATTTCAAGTCATGAAGCTGCTTGTCTTTGGCAGCTAGCAGCTCTTTCTGCAGATCAACTACTGTCCCCGACTCCCCTGACTGTCAATTACATCGGAGTGCAATTTCTGATTATATTTCTCCAGCTGATCAATGTACAACGACTCTCTATACATAACTTTTAACGCAGCATTAAGACTCTGAGCCATGACTTCCCTGGAGATTTCTCTTTTACCACTGAAACTCTGAACTGCACACGCGTTAACATGATCTGCTTTAGCAAGCCCGAGAGTTTTCCGGATCCATTCAGCTGCATCATCTCTAACTTCATCAAGCTTATAAGCTACGTATTTCTCCGATTTATACATCACACAACCACGGCACCGGTTAAACAAGCAAGTCTTATCAACGTAATGATAAGTAACTGATAAGCGAGCACAAACGTATCGAAAAGTGTAATTACTGAACTGAAAAGTGTAATTACTGAACTGAAATGAATGTGCTCTCGGTTTTAGCGGTTTTTAAAATTTGCCTGTTATCGAGCTTTTACCTAACTTATGCTGGCACTAGCTATTAACAACAATGATTGAAATCAATTATCGAGAATTGAACAAGTTAGGACTTATTAACCGCGTTACTAATTACTTAATCATCTATAAAATTTTAGTAAAAACGTCTTAAGATCTAGATGGTTTAATTTACAATATAATATTATTGAACTTAAATGCAGTAAACTGACCTGACTTAGATGCAGTTGAATTTGGAGTTCTCTTCTCAGGTGTAAGATGAAGTGAGTCCTCTTGAATTAGAGTGATTTGGGGTGTGGGTATTGGGGCTAATGTTGGACTGTACTCCTCTTGAGACATATCTAACACTGTGTCCTGGACATGAAGTCTTGTTAAAACTCATCTACATACCTTGATCTCACTCACATTGAGCTCACAGATTGGTCTCTGGTAACGAATTCGGTCAAAACTATGAAATTTCTGTCAAGAAAATGGCAGAAATGATTCGATATTTAAAAGCCTTCAAAAATGTCTCCTTTTATTCGGATGATTTTTATTCCTTTTATTCTGATGATTTTCCGTTTATCAAAGCATTTTTAGGGAATAGAACTATCAAACTTTCTTTAAGAATAGAACTTTGAGTACCTCAATGGTGTCTTGTGCCATCTCCAGTGACCTTGTAAGATGGTCATTCAAGAAAAATTCAATAAAAACATGAAATTTGGGTCACGGAGAGCTAAAATTTGTATATGTCCTACCGGTAGGACATATTCAAAATTTTCATTGATCAAAGTTTTGCAGTACCTTGATGGCGACTTGTGTCACTCTCACCAACCTCACTGATTGGTCACTGGTCAAAATTTCAGTCAAAATCACGAAATTTCGGTCAAGGGGACGGCAGTAAAGCTCCTCTTCAAAAATCTTCCAAAATCTCTTTTAATATTTTGACGATTTTCCGTTTATGAAATGAAATGAGTTATTAAAATATTTACATCCCACTCATATGATTAACCATTAACTATTATCAAAGCGGCTGACTGTGAGTGATGTGAGCAAATGTGTAAATGTGAACAAAAGTATAACTCATTATAAAGTTATAAGGTAAAGACAAAATTAAAACATCTTTCATTGTAAACCACACTAAACTAAGTAAAAGCAGAAAACCATACGATACATGTAGGTATAATAAAGGCTAGTACAGTGACAAAATCAACCAAAAAGATAAAACAGATCCTAGAAAGGTAGAGATCTAGACATAAAATGGAGTACGGTAAAAAATAAAAGCCAAGGTGTCTTGCAAAGTGAAGACAAATGGAAAGATAAACGACAGAACTGATTATATAAATGGTTCTTTAACATTCGCTTGAAACAGTTGGTATCAGTAATACATCTCAACATCAGTGGAAGAGAGTTCCATGAAACCGGTGCATGGCTTGAGAAACGTCTTTCATCAACTTTGGACTTTTTATTCTTGGGTATCTTGAGCATGAGATGGTCACCCGGTCTCTTCGACTTGGTCATTGTGTTTGAAAGTTCTGTATCCACTACATCCACATCCAGTAATGCTTTGAGGTAACCAGGTGCAGTACCGTGAACTGATTTGTGGGTTAATAGACAAACTTCAAAGAAGATTCGGTGGTCTAGAGGTAAGGGTCGACCGAGTACGAGTCCGAGTCCGAGGTTTTACCGAGGAATAGCTGAATAGAGTTTTTCCTCGGCCTCGGCCTCGGTCAGGAGGACAATTCCTCGGTTTGCCTTGGCCTTGGTTTTATCAAAGCAGAATTTCCTCGGCCTCAGTCGACCCTTGTCTATAGGGAGTATGTTGGCCATCTTATAGAAGGGAACCAAGTCCGTGGTTCTGTCTTATTTGTTGAAGATGAAACGAACTGCTCCATTAAGGGTGGATCTAAGTTTGTTTAATCTGGTCTTGGGTAGATTCATGTATAGAGAATTACAGTAATGTAACTTAGATATAACCAGTTGTTTCGCCAACATCAATTTAATGCCTTCATCCAGGTAATGACCAATACGGGTATATGCCTCCCATTATGTATACTGTTTTTCTGGCCTCTCTCATGAACACCATGATTGATTTAGAATCAAGAAGACTGTGTTGATACCTTATTTGAACTCTTCATTATTCTTCCCGGGGGTTTAAAAAATTGTAGAAAGACATTTTTACCAATTTCCAGTTCGTGCAAAATGTTATCTATTTTCCCTATACCTCCCAGAATGTAGGTCAACTATCTTTTAGATTGAAGTCTTGGAAGAGCATTCCCATGTGTAAGCTTTTCAGGGTGGCATCTCAATATTTTTTCCAACAACGGTACGGGTATATGCCTCACAGAATGGCCAAAAAAAAGGAAGGTCTCTTAAAATCACAAAACACACTTTATTCCAGTTTTTATCTCATAAGAAGCTAAGTTGACACTCATATTTTTCTTCCCGGGGGTTGATTCAATCTCATAACCATTTTTTCTTTGAGAAAAATTGGCCGGAAAATCTTCCTCCAAAAAAACATGCCTCACAGAATGGCCAAATCTGAATTTCTATAATTTTTTGATGGAGATACTTTTTAAATTTCTATCACCAAACGTTGTTAGAAAACCTATTAAGGAATGGGGTAATAACCTAAAACTCACGAAAAAACTGAGCTGTGAAAAATTATTTCACAAAAAAGAAAAAATGCCTCACAAAATGGCCAAAAAAAAAAGAAAACGAGAAAATTTTATTTTTCTAAAACCTTTGGCTCTTGTTTCATGCATGCTGCTGGTATTAATATGCCTTGTTAACACCCCCATATAGGTGAAATTTCTTAGAACTGAATAAAAAGGGCATAATTTCCTACACCAAAAATGGCCATTTTGTGTGGCGTTGTTCATATTCCCTGATTACATGATTTATAACCTTCATTCGGCTGTAAAAACACTCCATCTGGGGTGTTATTGTATGATAAATAGCTTGAGAATACTTTAGACTTACTAGCAGGAACCCGTCTAACCCTAAAGTGGTGTCAAGACTCAAGAGACTAAAATAATTATTACCTATTTAATTCGCGTTTTTGACACCACTTGGGGGTCCAAATTTTGGGCTCTAAAACTCCTATTTCTTGGCCAATTTTTTATTTTTTCATGCTGATTTGAAGGCCATTAAAGCATTTGACCCAGTCAAAAAAGTTTCAGTTGTATATCTTTTACGGTTTTTGCGGAAAGTCGTGTTAAAGTTGATGCCGTGGTGTCAGTAAAATGGCACGGATAAATAAATATATAATAAATAGTTGTTGTTTGGTTTCCCAAAGAGAGTGCTCGACTGCAGTTAAGCAGGAGCATTATAATTCGAACAATTGAAACAAATCAAATTGGTGGGCAAACGATCCGTTTCATGATATGTATAAAAACAATACCAATCATCAGTGCCAAATAGAATAATGAATTGTAGCGCTATGACATGTTGCTCCTTTATGAAATAATTTTTATCGATCATGAAACATTTTCAAAATGATCAAAATTTACAAAATTTCCAAAAAACAGTTTAATTGTGTCCGTCCCAATTTTAAAATTGTCTATGAAGTAAGGTAGAAAGATATCTTTGGCTTTTAAAGTTGTAAACTGCGTTGGCCTTCGTGTAGTGGTAGAGGAAAATTATTTACTGAGTTCCGTGAAGCTGGTAGAATTAGGATCCGTATTTGAGAGTTAATTGTTGATTCTGGTTATCAAACGAGAGTGCTCAACAACGACGAGTCGAAGGAGCATAACTAATAAATAGTTGTTGTTTGGTTTCCCAAAGAGAGTGCTCGACTGCAGTTAAGCAGGAGCATTATGATTCGAACAATTGAAACAAATCAAATTGGTGGGCAAACGATCCGTTTCATGATATGTATAAAAACAATACCAATCATCAGTGCCAAATAGAATAATGAATTGTAGCGCTATGACATGTTGCTCCTTTATGAAATAATTTTTATCGATCATGAAACATTTTCAAAATGATCAAAATTTCCAAAAAACAGTTTAATTGTGTCCGTCCCAATTTTAAAATTGTCTATGAAGTAAGGTAGAAAGATATCTTTGGCTTTTAAAGTTGTAAACTGCGTTGGCCTTCGTGTAGTGGTAGAGGAAAATTATTTACTGAGTTCCGTGAAGCTGGTAGAATTAGGATCCGTATTTGAGAGTTAATTGTTGATTCTGGTTATCAAACGAGAGTGCTCAACAACGACGAGTCGAAGGAGCATAACTAATAAATAGTTGTTGTTTGGTTTCCCAAAGAGAGTGCTCGACTGCAGTTAAGCAGGAGCATTATGATTCGAACAATTGAAACAAATCAAATTGGTGGGCAAACGATCCGTTTCATGATATGTATAAAAACAATACCAATCATCAGTGCCAAATAGAATAATGAATTGTAGCGCTATGACATGTTGCTCCTTTATGAAATAATTGCAGTTGAGCACTCTCTTTGGGAAACCAAACAACAACTATTTATTAGTTATGCTCCTTCGACTCGTCGTTGTTGAGCACTCTCGTTTGATAACCAGAATCAACAATTAACTCTCAAATACGGATCCTAATTCTACCAGCTTCACGGAACTCAGTAAATAATTTTCCTCTACCACTACACGAAGGCCAACGCAGTTTACAACTTTAAAAGCCAAAGATATCTTTCTACCTTACTTCATAGACAATTTTAAAATTGGGACGGACACAATTAAACTGTTTTTTGGAAATTTTGTAAATTTTGATCATTTTGAAAATGTTTCATGATCGATAAAAATTATTTCATAAAGGAGCAACATGTCATAGCGCTACAATTCATTATTCTATTTGGCACTGATGATTGGTATTGTTTTTATACATATCATGAAACGGATCGTTTGCCCGCCAATTTGATTTGTTTCAATTGTTCGAATTATAATGCTCCTGCTTAACTGCAGTCGAGCACTCTCTTTGGGAAACCAAACAACAACTATTTATTAGTTATGCTCCTTCGACTCGTCGTTGTTGAGCACTCTCGTTTGATAACCAGAATCAACAATTAACTCTCAAATACGGATCCTAATTCTACCAGCTTCACGGAACTCAGTAAATAATTTTCCTCTACCACTACACGAAGGCCAACGCAGTTTACAACTTTAAAAGCCAAAGATATCTTTCTACCTTACTTCATAGACAATTTTAAAATTGGGACGGACACAATTAAACTGTTTTTTGGAAATTTTGTAAATTTTGATCATTTTGAAAATGTTTCATGATCAATAAAAATTATTTCATAAAGGAGCGACATGTCATAGCGCTACAATTCATTATTCTATTTGGCACTGATGATTGGTATTGTTTTTATACATATCATGAAACGGATCGTTTGCCCGCCAATT